ACTTGGAGAGTGCCGCACCTGCGGAGCACAGCCACGTTCACGCCAAGCGCCTGTGCAATGCCTGCCAGTTTGTAACTAAAGATTGGAAAGATTAACCAGCTAAGAGGAGCATTCAGTACCTTTAAGTGGTATTTACATTCTCCATAGGTTCTGCAGAAAGCGCAACAAACTGTTAGGGGACGTTTGTCTACATAGAAACAAAAACCCTCTAAGATTAATCTAAAAATGAATTTTCAATCTGAAGTGAAAAGGCTGGGGAACAAATATGCACCTGTTCAAGGCAGACCTAAGTATTTTGTGTTTTACTTTTTATTAGTCATGTTAATTTACTTCTGTTTAGGGAGGCCAGAAAAATGGTGGATTGGAGAAATATTGGCAATACAGAGAGGAAGAAAGGAAGGTTAGAACTAGAAAGCTCTACATTCACATCTTTGTAAAGGGAGCCTTTTAAGTAGATGACTAACAGTCCACGATAGTAGTGGGTTATCCTTTTAGTTGTGTTATACCTTTCTATTTGTATTCTTTTGATTTCTTATACTAGGGAGACTATACGATATTTACACATATGGGTCTGGTTTATTTCACTTATGAGTATATCTTCAAGTGGCATCCACTTAAATATAAAGGCTTCAAGTTTATCATTCTTTATAGCTGAGTAATACTCCATTGTATAAAAATACCACATCTTTTTCTACCATTCTTCATGCGATGGGCATCTTGGTTGTTTCCAAGATTTGGCTATCACAAACTGTGCTGCAATAAACATAGGTGCACATATATCACTATGATATGACTTTTTCAGTTCCTTCGGGAAAATTCTCAGTAGGGGGATAGCTGGCTTGAATGGGATTTCCAGTCCTAGTTTCTTAAGGAGTCTGCACACTGACTAAACAAAAAAAAGGGATACAAAGGGAGGACAATTTGTATTTGTATATACAGAATAGTTAGGATAGGTATACAGCTACTTTCACTTAATTCAATGAGAAGAAAGATTTGTAGTAGTAGTGTTTGGACAGGATATCTTGTCTCCTTCTTGTACTATGGATAACCACTAAGAAGATAATAATGTACAATGTATTAATTATTGAAAATGTCCTATTAATCAACTTTAAAACTGTCTCATTGATATTTGCTTCTCAATAAAATAAATTAAAATACATTTTTTAAAAAGTATATGACTGGGGCCGGGGAGATGGCTCAGTAGAAGGGCCTGAATTCAATCCCAGGTTCTGCCAAAAAAAAAAAAAAAAAAAAAAAAGTATTTGACTAGTAGAATCCAACAGAAATATGCTACAAAATCCTAACAAAGCTTTTCAGGTACACCCTGATGATTGTATTCTCTTCCTCTTTTTGCTAGAAATTTCCATATGTCCTACAGCCAAGTTTACTTCACAGGAAATACAACTTGATGTTGGAATTCTACTCAATCAACAGTGAATTAGATATTCTAACAGAAGAGTCCTTTAGGACTAACAGCCCAACACATGAAGGTCATCACACAGAATCCAGTCAGAAAGGCGACTCTGTCACCAGCAGGGTGAGCTGCCAGGATGCTCAGAGTTTACCTGTCCCCAGTGGGAGGGATGCAGGGTTACGCAGGACAGAGGAGGCAGCAGGCCCTTTGGAGCTGCAGACAGTGCAGGAAACCACTGAGCAAGAATAGTCTGATCGAGGCTGGCTTTTTTGATCCCATATCCACCGAAAAATATAAAATTATGCAACACTAATTAGACATCTCTTCTTGAATAGTTACTGTAGGGTACTTTTTTCTCATTTGAAGAATTTACATTTCTTTCTTTGTGTGTGTGTGTGTGTGTGTGTGTGTCTGTGTGTCTGTGTGTCTGTGTGTGTGTGTGTGTGTGTGTTCAGCTCAACCCAGCCTGAGGGCAGAGCTGACACTGCATGTGGTGACAGGGATTGAACCACAGTTCCTAAGCTTGCCTAAGCAAGTGCTTCAGACCACTGAGCTATCTCACCTGACCTATTTTTTTTTTTCTTTTTTTAAGAGGCTGGGTAGAAACGCAACACATGGCTCGGCACGTGCAGAGTATCAGACTGGAGGCCTACGTTGCTACCTCACCTCTTCATGACCACTGGATAATGATAATGCAAATATATGCCTTTTATATTAACCAGTGCTTCAAATGAGTGGCCTAAATTAAATGCCAGGTTTTCAAAAGTTTGTTGGTGCTGGGAAGGGATGCAGGCTTGCAATCCCAGCACTCTGAGAGGTTGACGTCTGAGGCTGACAAGTACAAACCCAGCTTGGGAAATTTAGCTGCTTTGCAAAACTGTCCCCACATAAAAAATACAAAGGGATGGGGACAGACTTTAGTGAGGCAGCTCTGGGTTCAATCCCCAGTACCACACAAATGCACACACACACACACACACAATTGTTTGAGCTAATAATCACCACATAAATAACTAGATTAATAAGTATGCAGATTAATCAAAATGTGTACCAGGCCAGAGGAAGGTCTGACCTTGAGTCTTGTCCTCCTAGTTGCCCTTCAAGACAAATTTAAAGTGTGAACCTTCACTATCGATCTGTCCCTCTTCACCATCCTTCCTGCAATATAACATTTGGGTTCTATCAATAAAGGCTTCATAAATCAAGTATGGGAACAGGTACCTGAGTGTTATCCTAACACTCAGGAGGCTGAGGCAGGAGTATCACCATGCATTTTAGTTATTCGGGGCTACACAACGAGTTCAGGGCCAGCCTAGACCCATACAACAAGATGCTGCCTGAGAAATAAATAAATAAATAAATAAATAAATAAATAAATAAATAGTAGTGTTAGTGGGAGGACCCTAGGTTCGATTTCTACTACCACATAATAATAAGAAGAATTTCTAAAAATAACTGGAACAATAAATATGTAGGTTAATCTAAAATTGTGTCAGAAACTAAGTATGAATTAATAACTGTTCCCCAAACTCAGCCAGCAAGACAAATTTTAAGCTTGTGAAACTCTGAATGTGATTTGTATTCTTCACAAAACACTTTCAGATATCCTGTATATTGAAACCATTATATCCAACAAAGGTATCATATCTATAATGCACTAACAGTTTCCACATATAAAAATATACAGGGTAGCGCAATTAGAAACTCGATCAAATTTTCAACCAGTTATACCAATTGGCATAAATAAGTAAAGTTGAGTTAAAGTTCATTAACTATCAAGAAACAGATAACAAATTAAAAGCAAAATACAAGATCCCTACAGAGGGATCAAAATAAATGAAGTAGGGAGAGAGGAAAGTTTAGGCTCTGATCAGGAGTCACTGGGATTTTCTTTTCTACCAGTACACGTGTACTGCGTACAATGTTCACGTCGTGTGGACCTGGAGCCTGGCCACAACTCATCCTTGTTCCTTTGCATCTCCTTCCTCTCTGCCCTCAATCTCTTCATTCCCTTCCCATTTGAGAAATATGTCTTCCTACTTCCTATTATCGATCTTCTACTCTTCCTTTATAATTGGATGAGTCATATAAGAGAAGCCATGTGGCATTCGAGCTTGTGTGTCTGATTTATTTTACATAACCTTCTTATGGGAGTACAAATTAGTACCCCAATGCTGGAGAATACTTTGGAAGTATCTCCTAAGACATGCCTTGTAATTCCTCAAATCTACCCTACAAATAGGTCCTACAGAAACCCCTATCTTTACACCAAAAGCCATATACAAGACTTTGTAGCTCAGAATGTAGCTCAGCAGCATAGCACCTGCCAGCAAGCACAAGGTCATGAGTTTGATTCCTGGTAACCCCCCCCCCAAAAAAAGACTTAAGAATGTGTGTCAACCTATGTTGTTTTAATGACTGGGAAACAGACCAAATGGCACCAACAGTTCAATGGAAAACACATGGTGTTATATCCATTCAATGTGGAAAAAGCCCTGAAAGTCTTGCTGTGGGTGGACCTCTGCATTAAAGGAGCCCAATGATAAAAGAGCACCTAGTGATTGGTTCTATCGGCAAAATGTTCAAGAACAGACAGAATTCGTCTGTGGTTGCTTGAGGCCAGGAGGCAAAGGTGCAGGTGGCTCAGTTTTATTTCATGACCCAGGGAGCTGTGTCGGGGCTTCTTCACTCGGATATGAAGCTGAGCACTTCCAATTGACCTAACAGATAGATATGCAATGGATGATTACTAAGAATTAAAACTTCTTTTAAGAAGTACATGTGAATCTCTTTGTTGCATGGCTATTTCATTAACCCCAGCCTCTCGGAAGTTTTTTGGTTTGGTTTGGTTTGGTTTGGTTTGGTTTGGTTTGGTTTGGTTTGGTTTGGTTTGGTTTTTTTTGAGACAAGGTCTGTCTATGTAGTTTAGACTGGCCTTAACATCACTCTGTAGTCCAGTCTGGCTATAAGCTAGTGATGATCCTGCCTCAGCCTCCCACATGATGAGACTACAGGGGTGCATTACCACACCTGGCAAGTGATCTCCTTGTTTCCTAATATCGTCTATATTTTATTATGTTGTTTAATGTTTTTTATACTTTGGGTTTTGGGTTTTTCATATATGAGAAGCCATGCCACATTAAGCTTGGGTGTCTGATTTATTCCACTTAATATTATGGCCTCAAGAGCATTCATTGTCCTACAAAAGTCTCAGAAGTATCCATCTTTATAGCAAAGAAGTACTCCGCTGTGTGTGAACACTGCACTCCCTTTATCCAGCCATCTGCTGAGGCTGGATAGCAATATTTAGCTATCGTGACTTAAGAGCTGTGCCGCCATAAACACGGTTCTTTTCCTTCCTTCCATTCCTCCCTCCTCCCCTTCCTTCCTTCCTTCCTTCCTTCCTTCCTTCCTTCCTTCCTTCCTTCCTTCCTTCCTTCCTTTTCCTTCAGCCTCAAGGAAGGACCAAATCAAGCAGACATCTCCTCTCCACCCCTCCTTCCGTCACCTGACCCTGGCAGGTGCACGCCCCCAGGGCTCACCTCGTGCCCCCAACTGCCTCGCAGCCCCAACTGCCACTGCTGGGCCCAGGCTCCAGGAAGCCACCATGCTGCGCGTCCTGTTTCTGCTCAGCGGGCTCGCAGGACTGGGCGGGCTCCGGGTACCCTGTAAGTAGGAAAACGCATCTTCAAGCCCCACAGAGCAGCTATCCATCCGCCCTTTGCCTCTGGGGCCATCATCTCGCCTCGTTCTGCCAGCCAAGTACAAGCTGGATGGGGGGGTAGGAAGGGCGGGAGACCCCTGCAGGCCTGGGGGAGGGGGAAGCAGCCGGCCTGCGCAGGTCAGGGGTGGGGAGCAGGAGGCCGTGCTCCCCTGCCGGGAGGAGTCTGCACCAGAACTTGTCCCACCCACCCGAAGCTAGACCCTCCTCCTAAGGCCCCAGGCCTCTGTCTTTCTAAAACCTGGGAAGGTGAAAGTGTAGGAAAAAGGCAGTAACATCCGGAGGAGGTACAGGGAGTGCAGACTGCGGACCTAGAGGGCGGGATGGGTAGTGCTCTCACTCCGCTGTTTGCGCCTTACAGATTCCGATTCGGAAAGACCTCGCTTGCAAATTACAGTTCCTGAGAAAATCCACACTGTAACAGGCGAAGGAGGCACGGAAGTCGAGGTCAGGAGTCACTCACTAATTTGTTCAACTTTCAAAAATCATGTACAGGGGCTGCGGAGATAGCTCCACAGACTAAGCGCCTGCTTAGGCAAACGCCGGGCCTGGGGCTCTAGCCCCTGCACAACGTGCTGTGCTGGCCCCGCCCCCGGGCACTCCGAGACTGCGCATGCCTGTAATCCTAGCGCTGGGGAGGCTGAGGCGGGAGAATCGCGAGTCGGAGCTGCATAGTGAGACCCTGCGCCAAATACATATAAAAATTGGAAACAAAAAAATGTTCCCAAGAAGCTAATGTTTGGTGTTCTTCATCCATGCACATTTTCTGCACTTTAGGCCTCAGTTTTCTAGAGTCGAACACTTTGAGGGGAGGGAGACAGCAACATTAACGATGTTTCCTAGGAGGAAGGGCGCGGCGAGGCTGGCGATAGAAGCCCCAAGGCCCGCCTTCCAAATCTGTTTCCTTCTAGGGAAACCGTTGAATATTCTTGGGTCCAAGCCTTAGATGGTCCCTTCCCACCCACCTCCACCCTATACCTGCAGTTCAATGCAATATCACACATCAAATTTCATTCTAGATACTCTGAATCTTAGAGTAACATATTTTAAAAATTGGAAGAAAATGTGAGAAATATTTTTAGAATTTTCTAACAGGGGAATTGGATGAAAGCACAAATTCTTAAACAAGATATTGAGGAATATCCAGTTATTATGTCATTCAATAAAGAGAAAAACCCTTCAAACATTTTCCAATTCATGTACTATACACAGAGTATCCAGAATATATTAAGGACTTTTACATATCAAAGAGATAAGAAACAAACATGCGTAACTTTTAAATGGCAATAAAGCATTAAATGTGAGGGAGTAGTACATATCAAGCATAGATTTAAGTTGAGAAATGTACAGGGAATTGACAGTGGAGTGGAGAACTATTTCATAGCCTTCACTGGCAAAAATTCAATTTAAGAAAACAACATATTAGAGGCTATAAGTAAAAAGGCAGTCTTATATTCTGCTTCTATATATGTGAATTGACACAACCACTTTGAAGATTATTTTTATTTTTTGTTTATTTTTTTAATGCATTTGGTACAGAGTCTCACTACGAAGCTCGGACTCCTAGTGATCCTCCTGTCTCAGGCTCCCCAGCGCTGGGATTACAGGCATGCGCCACCACACCAGGTCTCTGTGGCAGGCTCAGTGCGCTCGGGGGTTGGGTGGAGGCAGCATGTGGTGAAGATTATTTTTAAATTCAAGTGAAATTGCCAGAGCACTTAATATTTAGTAAAAGGTAACACGTCTGACAAAGATGGAGCTATCGACTGCAGCATCGTTGATAATAATAAAAACAAAACTAAAGGTCCAGTAGTAGGTGAGGTGAGTCAGTCATGGTACATTCCACAAAGGAGGTATTATACTGATAGGAAATCAGCAATGGTGCTGCGTGGAGAGCCGACGATGACGGCAGCGCGCGTTTGCGACAGGCCCGGCCTGGGTCAGAGGCAGCGCTGTAACCAACAGACAGGATATCTTAACTTTCGGAAGGATAACACTTCCGTAAAGTCATGATTTGTGGAAAACAAACCCCTATTGAAGTAAACATCCATAAATTGCATAAATGCAAAAACATGCACGAGAGTGATAAGCGTGAAATGCAGGATGCTGGGGAGCTGGGTGCGGGGAGCTGGGTGCGGGGAGGTGGGTGCGGGGAGGTGGGTGCGGGGAGGTGGGTGCAGGGAGGTGGGTGCGAGGAGCTGGGAGCCGGGAGCTGGGTGTGGACATGGCAGCTTAGCACTGCTGGAAAAATTTGCAACGTTTTTCTCTTTCAACATAATCATCAGTGACATGCTATTTTATCTATTTTTCTTTTAAATTTTGTATCCCCAACATATGTAATAATTAAAATAACAATTGGAGGGGGCCAGGGAGATGGCTCAGTAGCATAAGCACTTGCCTGGCAAGTCCAAGGGCCTAAGTTCAATCCCCGGTTCCACAAAGAGAGAGAGAGAGAGAGAGAGAGAGAGAGAGAGAGAGAGAGAGAGAAAAAAAAAAATTATGTGCTCGGGTAATATTGATTCAATGGTGATTCAATGAGGAAGCAACTCATGTAGTAAACACCTATGGGAGGAAGAAGGACTTTCCTGGAAGGAGTGGGTTAAGGAGGTTCATCCTCCACCCCAAGGTGATTGGTACCTACTTAGAATATCAATCATTGCTGTCCCTAGGGGAAGTATCTACAGGAGTAGTTCTTTTTCCTCTTGACATCTGGCCTTTTTTTGTCTTCTGCATTGACTGTTTGACTGCCTGTAATATTTCTATCCAACTTAGCTATCAATAAT